AGCGCACTTGTGCACAAGGGTATTATAACTTTGTTCACATAACGGTTGTTTGTAACAGGCAAAACGAATCGAGATAGATATAGACAAATGTATACATAAATGATCAGAATGAAAAGAGAAATCGATTAAGCGGTGACTGTCTGTCCGTCCGTCCGTCCGTCCGTCTGTCCGTCTGTGCACACGATAACTCGAGTAAAAATTGAGATATCTTAACGAAACTTGGTACGTGAACTTCTTTTGGGCGTAGGACGGATGGTATTGAAAATGGGCGAAATCGGACAATAACCACGCCTACCTCCCATATAACGGTAATTTTAAAAAATACGAAAACTGCGATATTTTAGTAACTACTGAAGATAATTCACTCAAAATTGATACTTACAATGAGTCTCAGACGGAAAACATGAATATTATAAATTTTTGGAAAATGGGCGTAGCCACGCCCACTTATGGTTACATGTGTATATCTTGGTAACGCTGCACCAATTTCTTCCAAACTTGGCACAGTTGTTGGCCTTAGTACAGCATACTAAATGGCTGAAAAGTTTAAAAATCGGACAATAACCACGCCTACCTCCCATATAACGGTAATTTTCAGAAAAACGAAAACTGCGATATTTTAGTAACTGCTGAAGATAATTCACTCAAAATTTATATTTGCAATGAGTTTTAGACGAAAAATAAGAATATTACAAAATTTTGGCAAATGGGCGTAGCCACGCCCACTTATGCTTACATGTGTATATCTTGGTAACCGCTACACCAATTTCTTCCAAACTTGGCACAGTTGTTGGTCCTGGTACAGCATACCAAATGGCCGAAAAAAATCGGACAATAACCACGCCCACATCCCATATAACGGTAATTTCGAGAAATGCAAAATCTTCGATAAATCAGTAAATATTGAAGCTAATTTATTCAAAATTGATGGTTGCAACAATTCTTTACCAAGAAATACGTTTATGACAAAATTTTGGAAAATGGGCGTAGCACCGCCCACTTGTGATCACATATATGTATGTATCTCGCTAACCGTTCTAGCAATTTGTACCAAGCTCGGTATGGTTATTGTGCTTGCCACATAAAAGCAAACCGTTGAAAATTGTTGAAATCGGACGAAAATTGAGGCCGCTTTTCATATAACGGTAAATTTCAGAAATGCTTGAAATTTCAATATTTCGAAATTTAAGGACGCTAATTTACTTAAAATGTATACACCCCGGCTTATCATGTAGCGGTAGCTTTCGGAAAGGAGGAAAACATATATTTAATACTTGCGCCGGGTATTTAATGTTCGGCTCCGCCCGAACTTAGACTTTCTTACTTGTTATATATAAAGAGCATTGATCTCCTTTTACCAGAACCCCTTTGGGTTTGTGAACGAGCCCAAAACGAAGTATGAAACGAGAATAAACAGTCTTAATAGCTGTACAAAATTCGTGACAGATTTTTTTTTCACAGACTGTGTTATGACGCCAATGTCGATATATTAATTTAAGGAAATCAAACATTGTCTAGCCAATGCTTCCCATACTCTTCGCTATCCTTGTTATTTATTTACTTTGCCCACGTTACACCCATTTGACTGCTCTTCCGCAGAAGTTCGTACATGCATACATACTATGGCGTGACTGGCAATTAATGAATGGACAGCGACTTTTCACGAACCAAAAGCATGCTACATAAGTATTAGCAGCTATTGCAGCTATCGTTTATTTGCCTTATCAGTCTATGCGCATCGCTCTCATGTTTTTGTAGTCAGTGAAAATTCAATTTTTTGTTTACTTTCTAGTTTTTATTTTTCACTTACATAGTAGGACGCTCCGTCATAACTTCCCCAAGTTAATGACCCTTTCGCTTTATTCAGCTCAGATGATGCCTGTGGGTTCGGTACAAATTACTTGCAAATTCCTGGAACATGAACTTCATTAGACAGAATTTTATTTTTGCTATTCGTATCTGACGCTAAGGTGTGGCTCTGAAATGAATACTACCTGCTGCCAATTCATAACTTACTAGCTAAGCGTTTTAACACCTAGCTTCTCCTCTAATTGGGGAAGCACCAAAAAAACAAAATTTCATTTTGTACCAAGGATTCACTTATAAAGATAAAATGTAAAATCTAAAAAACTTTTGCACTGACGTTAACTTCAATGAGCCATATCTCTCATACATAAATAATTTTGTCTATAACCGTTTACCGGTTTTGCAGAAAACAAAAAAAACCTTAGCTGGTTACACCTCCTTTTTCGATGTTTTGTCAGAGCAGACAGGCTTTTCGAGAACTAATCTGTCGGTTAGACAATTTTACTAGTGACAAAAAACTCCAAAGACGCAGAGTTGAAACTATGACAGTCGAAGTTAATTTTGACTACAGTTATGGATGCGATGCAGCCTTGAAAAAAATTATTTGTACTTTTGGAACTGACTAAAAGGGTTGGTTCAGACTAACTTGTTCTTCAATGACGCTATGTATAACCGTTCAAGCAATTTTGGGTGAGCTCAGCTCTGACTTGTGAAAAAAACCATTAAAAAATGGGTACTTGAGACTGGGGAATTAAAAAAAAAAACAATTCCTATTACATCGTTCCCGATACTTGCGGTCAGAATGCGCAAAGGGCCAAGAATCTTTCATCATTATTGCGATTACTCCACAGGACGTCCATAAAGGTGTTGTCATATATTCTGCTACACAAAACGTTAGGGCGAACATGTAAGGTGTGATATTGATTCACCAATAGATTACTTATTTCTGCTGAATTACCTACTGAGTTCAAAGTAGTAAAAGGCAGACGTTATTGTTGGTGTTGGTTTCCTAGTGGACTAAGTCCTCTAACTAATTTTGCAGAATTATAATTTTCAGCAGGAAGTCTCATTCCAAACTCCCATATGGCACATGTTGGGCCCGAGAGATGATCTCTGAGGTAAGGAGTAGGATTCGACTGGGAAGGTTGCTGCCTATATTTTGTGATTACGGCTTTACGACATCGATCTTTTTTGCTACACTGAATCGTGCCTTCCGTCTATTACAACTTGACCGATCTAGCTTTTTTTATTTCAAATTTTGGCCTGTGGCGCCTTGTTTCAAGTCCTTCAGGAAGAAAATACATAACTAGATTGACACTAGCGATAGTGGCAGAGCCGAAATTGTGTGTGAGATTTGTCGTGACTACCTGTCGTTAAAACGAGCTAACCTCACGGTGCCCAATAGCACAGCGGATCAATTCAAATGCCTTGATCAGCGCCCTGAAATGCAAGCACTTCCTTACCAATTGGCAGTGTGGGGTGGACACAGTAACCACCTTGGTAGGGCTCCAGCCCCATCTATACTTCTGCCGTACTATGGGTTCAGCACCCGGTTGCATTGCAACTCCTCATTGAACCATTGCTAGTTCTACCCGCATTTGAGTTTCAACCACAGTCACCACGATACTCCCCGGGGGTTCGCACCAAGAACAGACTTATCTAGCACGCGATCACACTCCGGGGGAATTCTGTTCTTCGTGGCACCAGAATTAAGTCTTTGGTCAGACCTGGAAAGCCGGAGTCTTCTGCCAGTTGAGCCTCCACTCGACTCAAGAACTGGAGGCCTTTGACTGGGTAGCCCGGTGTTGTCAAGCCCGAAGTTCCAATGACGCGTAACCCACTTGGCCAGGCCAAAGTCGTCCGACACTGGATCTGGTATGTATTTATATATATCTAATAATCTCCCTCTGTAAAAGCACTCATATAAAAGCTAATTCCTCTAGTGAGCGAAGGTAACAATGCAGGGTTAGCCATAAACCGAAACATCAAAGAAGATTCGTAGAATATAATCTCTCCACACTTTCTTCGTATTTACTTCGTGTTTATTTTAAGTATAGTGGTTAGACTAGTAACTTGAAAATAAGTTTGTTCGACCGATCACAAGATGGTGTTGTCTAGAAATTTTCATAGAGAATGAGCTCAGCGCAATACAAAATTTCCATACAACGCCACTCTGTAAATATCAACCACAAATTTGAACAAATGTACCAGTCGCGTGATTTGGTTTGATTCAAAGCGAACATTTGAAAGCACACTTACATGTTGTGCCTGTAGGTGAGTGCGCAAAATGCTTGCTACAATTGGTTGCGGCTTAGAGTGTCCAGGTTCAAATCTCATTAGGCGGAATATATAATTTTAAATTTTTATTTTCGGTTTTTCTTAATTATGAAAAAGTATCTGTGAAGTGCACAACGTAATTGTGTTCAAACGAAAAAATCTCCAGAAATAAATCTGTTCAAAGTTAACAAAAGCTTGTTTTGAGCAAAATCATTATGGTTTATTTTTTTTCTCAGTGTGTCATCTAAGAATTTTCATCGAGGTTTTCTGAATTCAAGGAATTATCATTGTTTAAATTTGATTGGTTGGAAACCCAAGAGTTTTTGAGTTCAATTTGAATTCAATATGGATTGAAAACTTTGTCGGAGCAAGGAAAGAGTTGGAGTCCATCGAATTAGAAAGACCATCAGGCAATTCGCGCTAAAATGCTAATACTAAAATTTTGGAAACTTCAAGATTAATTCCAGACGCATTAGCTGTCTGCATGAGCTGACGTTTGCTATCTTTACAATGTTTTTATCTACCTAAGCATGTGAGTGCTTACCACTTACCAAGTAAGGTACACAGGGACATTTAAGAGACGCTTAATTCGTTATTTCTCAAATTTTTGTACGATTTAGGGCGGTCGTGATTGCTTGAATATTTCTTTGGAAATAATAGCAGGCGTATGTTTAAAGGTTTGCCGGCACTTTACTAGAGGAAAACCCGGCTTATGCGATTACAAAATTCCGGTTTACTTGGCATGCGAAAAATCACGGGTTAAAAAATTAAACGCTGAAAAGCTTTAGAAAAACCGTGTCAATCACCCTACTACCTATATTTGTATTTCAAAAAATTAATATTTTTATTTGAATAAAATTTTTGGCAACCTGTAATTTTTTACTATTAATTGCGCGCCATATTTTCTCTCGTTCCAGGTGTACGCAAAGCACGCGCCTAATTCCCCAGCAGTACACTACCAACCCAGCGAAGAGTTTCAATTTGAATTCAAGAAAAATAAAACTGAAAATATTGAAACGTAATGCAAACTAAATCGCATGCAAGTACTCGTATCACCACATACATAAATACACATACAAACAGAAAAATGAAATTCGCAAAAGGGGAAAGCTCGTTTCATTTTAAAAATCAAACAAAAACACTACTAACTGACAGACTTCTTACAAATACTTACATACAACAAAGCAAAGAAGTGAAACGAATAATAGATAAAAAAAAACAGAAGGTAAACTAAGATCAGACTTAAAACGTTAAATAAAATTAACCAAACCAATGCGTAGCTGCAGCAAAGGAAAAAAATAAATAAATAAATAACAGTGAAAATCCTTACCACTTAAAAAGTATTTATAGAGATCTCCACAACTTGATTACAAAAATAGTAAACACTGAAAAGTACGTTTAAAATAAAACAAAAAAATACAACAGACTTATATACCATATATACATTAAGAGTTGCTAAAAAAGAAGAGTTGCAATTACATACCAAAACAAAAAGTTACAAAAACCAAAAGAAATGAAATTATTGAAATGAAAATAAAAGACAGTAAAATTATACATATACATACATAAAGTAAGTTAGGTGGATGTGGCAGTTAAATAAAACAGGAAGTGTGTACTCGAACTGGCAGCAGATGCGTCCGAACTATTTAGAGCCGAATGTGGACGAACGCGAGGCACGAATTTCGATTAGCTATGTGATTCTGGCCGAACGCGTACGAGCGACAGTGGTGGGATGGTACGAACCGAAAGTAAATTAAAATTTTATTAAAATTAAAAAAGTAAAAGATTCAAAAATTTAAATTAAGAATTATTACTTATATACGATACAGTACGAGGAGGAGGCAAAAACAAATACATAAGTATTGAGAGGAAATGAAACAAAAGATGAAATTATATTTGTTTTACAATGAAAGATATAAGGAAAAAGCCAAATCCAACACATTAAGTAGATTTTACTATGAAAGTAAAAAAAAAAAAAAAAAAAATTAAAACAATTGAAAAACCCCAATTACCAAAAAGTTTACAGATAATAGTTAATAAATAAAATATTTGCATTTCTATGCTGACAGAGAATTTGACACACACACATACATACAAAGTAAACATCATCTTATACAGCTACAACAGTCTTTAACGAAGTCACACAACCATAAATACATAAAATGCATTTCAAGAAAATTCTCTCGCTTGCAGACACTCAAAGAAAAAATGCGATGACTTAAAGGGCAACGAAAACATTTCAAAATTGGCTGATTATTTCCAGAAATTATGTATGATTTATGCTCATTTGACTTTGTGCCATATTCCCTTTGCTTAATGGTTTATTAAAAAAAAAAAAACCAAATACTATTTTAAAAATCAGCAACAGTAAACAGCTCTTACATTCCTTTTCAATTTTTCAAAGTCAAGCCAAAATAATTGTCTAGCAAAGCAAGCAGTTGTCACTCACAGCAAAGGGAAACGAAAAATAATACACTTTTAAAGTGCAACAACAACTGTAGCCGTTTTTAAACAATTTAAATATGAAAATCTGTAAATATTGTAAAGAAAAGATGAATACATACATACATACACACAAACAAAGCAAATCAAAAGACTCACTCATAAAAACTCATCCACTCTCTCTCTCTATTAACCATCTTTAGAATTTAAAGCTTTGCAAAATCTCAAAAAAAAATTTAAAAATTTATTTTTCTCGCAAATCGTATCCAGCTCCATATTTTCTTTTTTTTTCCTCGTTCGCAAAAGCATCAAAATACTCATAAATAGAATTGAATATAGACCTTTGAGCGTTTAATAGTGACAGTTTGAATTGATGTAGCAAATCTCGAAATATTTAAATTTAACACACACGAACACAATACATACCTACATACATATGTACATCGGAGCATCATCGCACAACTAAGCAAATAAGTTAAAATAGACAGAACTTCATGCAGAAAATTCAAACAACAAGAGAAACCAAATAAATACATAGATATGTATGCGTCAAAAGCAGCAGTTTTAAATGGGTGTTTTTAATTATTTTCGATGGACATTACAAATACAATTACAATATTTACATTAACAAAAAACCAAAACAAATAACAATTGGAAAATATGGAAATAATGAAATCCATGAAATAAACTAATGTGAACACTAAACATACAAAATACATAAAAACAAAGACAATTTAAACGTATATGAAGAATAAATGAGTATATAAAATTTTAAACAAATAAATAAAAGTAAATGATAAAACTTTACGATAAAAACAAAAACAAAAAAGTGCGTTTTTTTTATTGAATGGCATCAGTAAAACGGTAGTACCACAATCATTTATCTATGTATATTTATTTATCTGTTCCTATTTATCTACATATTTCAGTCTACAGAAATTATTGTTACGTTTATCCTTGAATGCTTGACGGATTTCCCAAAATCCTTACGGTTCGTATCGCTGGATTGTTAAATAAACGCTCACGATGTCCAGATTACAGTACAATTTACTTTATTGTACAACAAACACTTTACAATACTTGTTAAAGCAATTACAACGCTTTACAAAACTTGTTAGCACAATTTCCTCTGTTCCACAACTTGCTTATAGCTTGCTGATTCGCAAATGACTGACTGGTAGCTTTCTCTCATTCTCTCGCTGTTCGCAGTATTCGCCACGGTATTATTTTAGATAAATTACTTATTTTTCAATTTCTTTAGATAAATTACTATTTTTTTTTTCAATACTTACCTAGAAATTGAGAACGCTGAAATAGTTATAACCATGGGCTGAATTCTGTAACTGTGAGAAAATGCAGTATACTCCGAAAGCAAAACTCACAACTAGCGTTGCCACTGATGTACAAAAATACTTACCATTTACTTTGAAAAAATCTACCAAATCTGGATAATATCCACCAATAACTTTTTTTTTAGTTATTTTCATTAAAACTATAGGTTTGTTCTTTTTTTGAGTTATTTCAATAAAAACCAAATTTTTTTATTCGGGAACTTTTTATTTAACTAATGATATGATATTTGAGATCATACTAATGAGTGCGTGTAGTCCCTACGCGCCGAAGAATTTAAGTGTATTTAATCGAGAAAATTTGTTCAATTATTATTTGGAGCTGAAGAAGCATTCATATGCATATACAAGATTAACTAGTGGTTGAAATGAGATTAAATAAGACGGGTCATGGCAGAAAGTGAGAGAGCTTCGGTTGGGCCGCTCCGACTTATTCGGTTTGAAGGCTCACTGAAGTCTGCAGCGTCTGTTCACCAGTAGGTGCGACTGCAAGCGGGCGTCTGTCTCGGAGCAAGCGGCTCGCTATATAAACGTGTATTCGGTTAAGAAACCACCTCCCTCCCAGCAATGGGTTGTGCCCTAGGTTTTATACCCGCCGCGTAACAACCACCTCCAGTGAAAAAAGCGACAATGCCTCGTTTAAAGGAATACGATTTGAGGGCATGCACCTGGAGTATCCGAATATTTAATGGAGAAGGTGCCTCTGCCCGGCTGGTTGATATCCTCGTAGGGACAAAAGCTGACATCATCGCCATCCAAGAAATACGTTGAACGATGTCTACTATAACTTCCATGTAAAGGAGCGTAAATGCAGTGTTGGATTTTTAATGGGGGAGGCACTCCGTCGCCGAGTACTGTCGTTCACCCCGGCGGACGAGCGTCTAGCCGTACCGTAGAAACACAATGTTGGCGAACAGCCAACTCACCATAGCAAACACAATATTAGAACACGAGCAGGCAAGTTGTAATAGATGGAAGGCATGCTTCTAGTGTTCTAAGGGTCAAAAATCGACTCAGACCACTATCTTGTTGCAGCCAAGATACGCACCCGTCTCCGTTAAGCAAGAATATGCGCTCAGCAATGCACGGAAAGCTTGACGCCGAAAAGCTGCAAACACAACAGACAACCAATTTTATTCGCCACTCGACAAACCGACATATGCGAGCACATTTCCCTCTCATTACGTGCCGTCGCCGAAGAAGTAGTCAGACTTTAGTAAGCCCGAAAGGACAACTGGTGCGATGAGGAATGCCATGAAGCTGCAGAGAAAAAAGATGCCGCCTACACGGCCATGCTGCGGTCGTGCCCAACGCGAGCTATGTGGGGCCACTATAGAGAACTGAAGAGGGAAGCGGGACGTATTAGCCGCAATAAGAAGAGAGAGGCCGAAATACGTGAGCGCGAGGAGCTTGAGATACTGGCCGAAAGGAAAAAAGCCCGAAAGTTTTACCAGAGAGCTAGGCGACTTACGGAAGGTGTTAATAGCAGGGGGAACTCCTGTAAGAACAACAATGGCGACACTGAAACAGTTGATGATGATGGATTCGATGTTCCACCACCTTAAGTAGACGAAGTAAGAAGAGAAATAGCGCGCTTGAAAAACAACAAAGCTGCTTTAGCTGACAGCTGTCTATCTGAGCTATTATAGTATGGCAGCGAGGTTAGATGAATGCCCAATCCAAAGGTCTTATTCAACTCGGAACCCGCTGGTGGTAGCAGAGGAAGAGGGAGGCCCCCACTGCGATGTAAAAACTAATTGGCGTCAGTTGGCACAGAAGAGAAACGACTTGCGTGCTTTGTTGAACTCGGCCAAAATCGCTTAGGCGGTTACAGCGCCAAATAAGAAGAAGAAAATCGAGTCCAAGATGTTTATCTTTAGTAGTCCTGTACAGAATGGACACCGACACGCTGGCAAGGTTGTTAAGAATAAAAATTGTATAAGATTTTACAGACTCCGGATCTCGTCCATTCAGATCGCCTGCCCGTAAAGTGGAATCGAGAAGAGGCGGCTTGGAAACTAATGCTTTCCAACCGCCCAGTATATGTAATGTGCTGCTATGAATCCCGTCCATTCCAACAGCTTCAAAAATATGATACCCATACGACCTTTATAAATAAATAAATAAATAAGGGGGTGGAACAGGGTCGTCCTAAAAAACTTACTGAACACTTTCGAACGTGGTGGAAGTGTTTTACTTTCTACACTTTATAGTAATTTAAAAATTTGGCCCTTATACCACAAAAATGAAACAAATGTTTAAAGGAAACTCATCTAAGCAATATTAAGTCCTACAGCTCGCAGATAATTAACTTATTCAGAGGAAAACTTGATTGAAATTCAGCTTTCGCAAAGTTCCAGTCAATGTGTTCCATCTGGGCCAAATATGATTTTTAGATGTATGTAGTTCATCACTATGCCATGCCCATCGAAATGTAGTCAAAAATACTACAAAACCAAAAAGCGAAACAATACACACTCATTGAACATTTAAACAACAATACATACCAGAACAATGACTATAAAATGGCGTGTGCCTATGTAAGCAGAATGCCAGGATGTGCATTACTATCCTGTCCCACAGCGCTCAACCGAAACTGGAGCGGAAAGTAAGAGGATAATATGAGTATGTGCTCGTATACATTCACCAACACATACAAGGTAGTCAGCTGCATGCCTGCTGGATTGCAATTGTTTTGGCGCATTTGCATGCAACAAGCCACACATCCAGGCTGGCAGGAATTACTCACTATGTAAAAGTCGCCGCTGGCCAGATCCGGGCAAAGCAGGCCACTGATCCTATTCCATCCAGCCGTTGCTCGGTGCACAGCATGACCGCGCCCACGGCAATGCACTGAATGCCATTAAAGTTTGGTCGAGTGCACACGAAATTGTAGCCTCACTGGCCAAAATGGGGCGGTGTATGTATTAGCAAATATTGCTATCCACAATGCAAATGCACAAAGCTTCAGTGTACCTATGAATGCAGTTGATGATGCGAGCACATCCATCTAAGACTGTCGGTCAGCTCTGGAAATGGCAACGAAGCGACGAACGTGTATATACATACATACATATGCACATATTATGTATGTAGCTACAAGTCATGAATTGAGAGTGGTGTTTGTGGTTGGTGAAACACAAAGTATTTAATTTGAATGTGGGATGACTGGGCGGTGATAGCAACTTTATGCAAATTTGTGAAAAAGTGAATTTTTGGTATAGACATTTCGAGAAAGGTTTCTCATGGAATTTATATATTCTGGGAACAGCTTAAAAGTAAATAAAATAAAAACAACATCCTTTGCGCGATATATTCTTTATTACTTAATAAAATAGCTACATACCTATAAAAGGACTTTTTTTCATATATTCTTTTTACATCTCATATGGTAAAGGTTTCAAAGGTATTTCTGAAAAGTGTACGTGAATTACCATAGGAAAAACTATGAATTTTAATAAAGGCGATGCTAAGGGGGCCCCACATATATTTCTGTTTCTATACATATACATACCAAGGCGAATTCAGACAAGGTAGCCTTACCGGAACAGCTGATTTCAAGGTGAATTGCGCCGATTGTCAAAATGATGATTTTTTTTTTGGAAATTTGTTTGTTCTCATTGCCTTTGTGCGCATAGTTTGTTAGTGTAGTTTTTTGTTTTTTTGTGCTGCCGTTATCACCTTGTATGAATTCGCCTTGTATATATACTATAAATGCTTCTTTATTCACGCGTTCCTTGATTAAAAAACAAAAAATAAATAAAAAAAAATTTTCCGGACACTTTTTCTTGGTATTTTCCCGGGTTCTTCTTTCATTCTGTTTCACTAAGAGCGCAACAAAAATGTGTTGAAAATTCGTTCATCAAATTCATTTTG